TGAACCTGGGAGGCAGAGGTTCCAGTGAGCTGAGATTGTGCTACTGCACTCCAGCCTGGGCAACAAGGTGAGGCTCCATCTCAAAAAAAAGAAAACAGGCAAAATACATCATAGGCCAAGGGAAAATACTACCAGACAGAAACATCAGAAAGGGCAAAAATGATACAAACACATAAACACACAAAATTTATTTAAAAGAACAGAGTAGAAATATTTAAAATCATAATTATACTATAGCGTTGATAGCATATATAGAGGCAAAATATATCTAAAAACAAAAGAGAAAGAGGGAAATAATTGGAAGAATACTGTTGTAACTTTCTTAAGCTGTTTAGTAATAAGATGTATTTTGAAAGTAAAGTGTGATAATTTAAAGATGGATATTGTAATCACTAGAACAATCACTAAAAAACACAAAAAGGTTATAGCCAAAAATTCAACAGAGGAAATAAAATGAAATACTAAAAATACTTGATACGCCCAAAAGATGATAGGAAGAACAGAGGGACAAAGAGCAGACAGGACAAATATGAAAGGAATGAAGGAAAGAAGTAAGGAGGAAGGAAGGAAGGAAGAAAAGAGAGAAAGAAAGAACACATTTAAATCCAAGCATTGTTAATAACTGCATTAAATGTAAATAAACTAAATACTTCCCAAAAAAAGAGACTGACAGATTGGAATGTTTCTTAAGTCTCAATTATGAGCTATACACAAAAACATATACTTCAAATATAATATACAGACAGGTTAAAAGCACTTTATCTTTAAATAAATAAATAACTACAACATTTCCCACAAAGAAACCTCTGGGCAAGTCTGGTAGCTCACTCCTGTAATCTCAGCACATTAGGAGGCCGAGGCAGGTAGATCACCTGAGGTCAGGAGTTCAACACCAGCCTAGCCAAAATGGTGAAATCCTGTCTCCACTAAAAGTACAAAAAATTAGTTGGGCATAGTGGTAAGCACCTGTAATCCCAGCTACTTGGGAGTCTAAGGCAGGAGAATTGCTTGAATCCCGAAGGTGGAGGTTGCAATGAGCCAAGACTGTGCCATTGCACTCCAGCCTGGGCAACAAGAGGAAGACTCTGCCTCAAGAAAAAAAAAAAAAAAAAAAGAAACCTCCAAGCCCAGATGACTTCCCTAGTAAATTCTATTAATCATTTAACTAAGAAAAAAAATAGCAGTATTATACAAACTCTTTCAGAAAAGAAAGAAAATGAAAGCACAACTCATTTTTGGGGGCTAGGATAACTATGATAATAAATTTAGACATAAACATTACGAGAAAAGAAAATTACAGATATACAGCATGAACTTAGACATAAAAATCCTTAACAAAATATAGCAACTAGAATCTCTCTCAATATTTAAATATAATAATGCTTCATGATAAGTGAAGTTTGTTTATCCTCGGAATGAGAAGTAGGCTTAAGAAAAATCTATGTAATTCACCACATTAACAAATTAAATTAGGAAAATAAATAAATGTAAAATTCAATAAATGCAAAAAAAAGGATCTAAAAATTTTAAATACTTATTTATTATAAAAACTCTTAGCAAAGTATTAATTAAAATAATTTCCCCAAGCTGATAAAGGGCATTTTAAAAAACATACAGCTAACAGTACACTTACTGGTAAAATAGTGAAGGTTTTGCTCCTAAAATCAGGAACAAGGCAAGGATATCTGCTCTTAACATTTCAACTGAACATTTCAACAGAAGCAAGCAGCTAGTGCATTAAGGCAAGAAAAGGAAATAAAAGACATAGAGATTGACAAGACAGAATTGAAGCTCTCATTATTTGCAAATGACACAATTGTACTGGTAGAAAATTCTAAGAAATCGACAAAAAATAGCTATAAAAATTAAAAGGCAAATTTACCTAGATTGTAGGATACAAGACCAGTATATAAAAATAAGCTATAATTTTATATACTATCAATCAACAACTGAAAAACGAAATATTTTTCAAAATACCATTTACAATGGAACCAAAAACAAATTACTAGAAATAAATTCAAAAAAAGATATGTAAGACCTCTACACTGAAAATTATAAAATATTGATGACAGAAATGAAAGATAGCTTAAGGAAGGAGAAGGATACATGTTCATGGATTCAAAGACTCAATATTATTAAGATGCCCATTCTACCAGAGTGGATATATATTAATGCAATCTCAGTTTAAAACTCAAGCAAGATTTTTTTGGTAGACATTTACAAGCTGATTCTAAAATTTCCGTGCAAATCAAAGTAGGATAACTAAAATAAACTGGAAAAGAAGGATAATATTAGAGTATTAACTTCATAATGACTTTGAGACTTACTATAAATCTACAGTAATCAAGATGGAGGTATTAGTAAAAGGGTAAACAAATACATAAAACAGAATAGAGTCTAGTAATAGACTCATATTGCCAAGGCAGTCCAATGGAGAAAAAAGTTTTCAACAAATGATGCTGGAACAACTGAATATCCATACTGAGGAAAATAAAAACATGACTTCAGATCTTATGCTATACACAGAAATCATAAGTCTAAAGGCAAAAGCAAATGACTACTTCTAGAAGAAAACATCGAAGAACATTCTCATAACTTTAGCGAAGACGGAAACCATTAAGTATAAAACACACATTTGATAAATTATATTTTGTCAAAACAAAAAACTCTGTGCATCAAAAGACACCATTAAGAAAATGACCTGGTAAATCACAGACTAGGAGAAAATATTCACAACATATATACAGAATCAATTATGTATATATATGTATTTTAAATATAATTCATGAAAGAAAATTATACAAATGTCCAATTATCACATTAAAAAGGGCTCAACATCATTAGTAATCAGAGAAATTTTTAAAAAGCAACAACCCCACAATAGGGTATTACTACAGACACTGTAGAGTACTCCAGTGATTTTCATGAAAGGTGGCAATTTTGACAACCAGGAGACATTTTTCGTTGTTACTGGCATCTAGGATCCTGCCACACATCTTACAAAGCACAGGACAGCCCAAATAACAAAGAATTATCCTGCCCAAAATGTCAATGGTGGCCAAACTGTGAAAACTCCAATAGCCAAAATGAAAGAGACTAATAGCATCAAATATATGGCAAAGATGTAGAGCAGCCAGAACTCTCTGATACATTGTTAGTGCATATGCAAATTGGTTTATTCACTTTTGTGTTTGACAGATGCTACACATTATGTGCAGACTGCTTCCCATTGGCCAATTAAAGGCCAACATGGCCTACAAGAACCTGCATGATCGAGATCCAGTCTACTTTTCCAGCCTCATCTCCCAATTAACTGAGGTACAAAAATGATTTGATACTAGGATATTTTTCAGTAAAGTTGATTTTGCTGACAGAAATTTTAAAAATTCTGAGGAAAAAGGTAACTTAAGATCATTTAGTTCAACATACTACCTAAAACAAGAATATTAGTACATTCCTGATGATGAAGTAGCTAATGTCTCTAACAATGAACATTAACAGTTTTGGCAAAACATCATTGATGTAATTGGTATAAACTAAAAAGGCTACAAATTCTATATAAATAATGGTTCTTTTCTCTCTTTATAAACTGAGTAAACTGGACTTCAGTATAGAATTACAGACATTGGCTTAAGCAGCACCACAATATAGATTGAAAAAACGAATATAAAAGTTCAGAAAGATATTACATATTTACAAATACTACAATTCATTTCAAAAAACTGAGTCAACTGATAATTAGTGTATAAATGGCCTAAATCAGTATTACCCAACAGAAATAAAACGTAAGCTATAAATGCAGGCTACATATACAATGTTAAAAAAGTAAAATGCAAAGGGCCGGGCACAGTGGCTCACGCCTGTAATCCCAGCACTTTGGGAGGCCGAGGCGGGTGGATCACGAGGTCAAGAGATCGAGACCATCCTGGTCAACATGGTGAAACCCCGTCTCTACTAAAAATACAAAAAATTAGCTGGGCATGGTGGCGCGTGCCTGTAATCCCAGCTACCCAGGAGGCTGAGGCAGGGGAATTGCCTGAACCCAGGAGGTGGAGGTTGTGGTGAGCCGAGATCGGGCCATTGCACTCCAGCCTGGGTAACAAGAGTGAAAACTCGGTCTCGGAAAAAAAAAAAAAAAAAAAAGTAAAATGCAAGAGAAACAAACTGTAATATGTGCAAATACATGCATGCATATTATGTACATAAAACACAAAATAGCCAGTAATTCCAAATATTATCATTTCAACATATAATCCACATAAAAACTGTTCAATTATTAACTACAAAGAATTATCAGACAGGGACTTTAACTGTGATAAGTTTATTAAAAGATATAGTAGAAACAGTGGGCAATATATGTAAAAAGATGGGAAAGAGATGGAAACTTTAAAAAAAGAGCCAGTAGAAATGCTAGATATGAAAATTAGATAAGAGATCAAGAATTATTTTAATAAGTTTATCAGCTGATGGACACAGTAGAGGAAAAATAAAACCAGTAAACTTTAACCAACATAAACATTAAAAACTATTAGATTGTTTTAACTCTTTTTTAAATGCTGTCTTTAAAATTTAATGTATATTTTACCCTTATGGTCCATCTCAAATCACAGTAGCTATTCAGGTGCTCAGCAGCCAGATGCGACTAGTGGCTACTGTTGTTTATTATGTAACAACATTTCTAAATATTTTACATGGATTATTTCATTAATCCTTCCTGGGTACAGACAAGAAAAAGTAACTTGTCCACATTCTCACAGCTGGAGATGGACTCAGGATTCTAACTCAAGCAGCCTGGCTCAGATCTCCAGCTCCTAACCATCATGCTTTCCTACCTCAAATCAAGTTTTTCAGCAATATTACTGAAACATCCAATTAAATCAAATTAATACCTGGATTCCTGCCACTGGTATCCTATATATTTCTGAAACCTAAATTTGTGGGTTTCATATAAAAATTGATTTCCCCCCCTCATGATTTAAAATTCGAAAGAAAAGACTTACCATTAATACGAGTTTTTGATACTTTTGTTTTAGGTCTGACACATTTGCAGATGGGTCTGCCCCGAGGATGCTGTACCAATCCTTTATGGGCATCTGCTCAACCGTCATCATTCATGGAACCAGAAGTAGGCCTTCTCAGATCAGCTGAATTGAAATATTAAAGACAATTCATTACGGTCTGTCATGTATCTAAGAAAAAATTAAGTAGTGCTTTTGTAAGTTCTTTAATATTCGGTTGAGTAAATCATGATTATAAGGCAAACCTGAGGAAGCATATATTTTCATGTAAAACGCCCCAATAATTCCATGTATAAGTGTACCGACAAGTATAAAACACGTTTTAGGTCTTTCACGATTTATACATTAATTAATGAATATACAGCAGCATTAAAAAAAAAAAGAATTTGATAATGAACCAGATGGTGTATCAACCTTTAAGGTATTTCCACTAGCCTTATGGTAAAGCTGGCACACAAGTAAGCACTCACTAAACACGCTGAAGGAGCTTAATGAATATTTACAAAATGAACGAATTAAACAAATAAAACACCAAAGAATTAAAATGAATTTGGGGGCATTCCTTCTGAATGTTTCTCGTTTGCTTTTCCTCCAGATTGCCTGGAGAGCATGATATGAGAAATAACGTCAGCACCGGCCGGCAGAGAACGAGAGACCCCTGTTAATGGAGAGGCGCTGAGACTTCACGAAGAGAGAGGAAAACTCCACGCTAGGATGCCCCAGTTTTCCCACACTCGAGAAGAGACCCTACCAGGAGCCCCAGAAATCAGGCAACTCTTCCCACAGCTATATACACTTAAAAGAAGCAGCCGGGGCCTCCTCAAGCTCGGGACTTGGAAATCATCTTCATTCACCGTCGGCTTTACCCACCCAGACATTGGCGGGCACCCTCTCCGCGCTTCATAGAAGATCAAACCTACCTAAGTTCACACAGGCGCTGCTGACCACTCCCGCCCTGCGGTCGGCCAGAACTCGGAACCGGCTTCTTCTTCCGCCGGAAGTCACTGCTCCGATGTGTAAGCGTTTCTAGTCGAGCAGCTGTGGCCGTGGCACCACTCAGAAGCGACGCTCCAGCCGCCGTGACGCGGTCGCTATGGTAACCAGTCACCGCTTCTATGGAGTGGCGTTTACTAGCAGTAAGTTCCCGAGCGTTGAAGAAAGGTGCCTCTGGCTTTGCTCTAAGTCTCTCTTGTCCTGGCTCCGCGACTGTCGCTTCTCTCCTCCTCCTCAGAGAGCACCCCCCGACCCCGCCATCCCAGGCTTTCCCTCCGTTCTTCAAAGCGTCCTCCGTTTACCCTACCCTGAGCTACTCTCAATTGTTTCGGTTGGTGCTTGAACTCTGAGAGGTATGCGGGGGCAAAAATGTGAGAAGGATGAAGAGATCTCATGCCACCCTCGTCCCTGCAGTTCCTTTATAATGTTCTCATTCGAAAATTAAGAGAATTAAATCCTATGCCGGGTATGGCTAGATTTGCGGAGGATGAGGTCGGTTTAATTTTTTTTCTCCAAAAGATAGTCGATGTAATTATTAATATTCCTTTTAGACCTTAGTAACCAACCTACAACATAAAAAACGTTCCAAAATTCTTTCACGTTTGCTTTCACTTCGCTTTCACTTCAACCCAGTGAGAAAAGTAAGACAGGTGCTATTTATTCCGACTTTATAGATGAGGAAAGAAATTAAGGCTCAAGGCCAAACAGCTAGCAGCAGAACAAGGACTCAGCAAGTCTACCCATTCCCAGGGCAGCTATGCTATCTTTCAACTTTACCGAAAAAAGCAGAATGAACTGCTCTTCTTTGAAGCAGTTGGGGGCCACTACAAATAGGCACTGTTGGGGTTTGTTGTTGTTGTTGCTGCTGCTGCTGCTGGTGGTGTTCTTCTCTCCCCTCTTTTCCCTTTCTTGATTCCTGTGTTTCCTTTTATTATTTCTTCTTTGTGCTGTTTACATTAACAACTCTTCCTTGCATTGTACCTGGCGATGAAAACTACATCTTATTTTTGGCCAGCATCACATACATTTCACTTGGAGATGTTAAAGTAGTTTTGTTGTTAACTGCTTAGATTTTGCTTTCCTTCTTTTTTATCCTTCTTCTACCAATCTGAGTTTGAGAAGCAGTTAAGATAAAGTTAAGCAGAATAAATAAAATAATTTAATATGATCAATTATTTAATGATGTTGTGAACTATAAAGAATAACTGAATGAAACAAGCAAGTTAAAAAAATCTAAAGATGAAAGTATAGATTAGGTTCTCCACAGAATTATGTCATGTTTGAACACATACAAAGAGCATCTGGTTTTAGTCCTGGCTCCATCATACTTTCTTGGGTTGTTACATGGAAATACCTGAAACAATGGAATTAAGTGGTATCGTGAATGCTTTCCTAAACAGTACTGTCAGAATGATGCTCCCTTGAACATCTCTAGCCCTCAAACTCCCCTCTATCCACTGCTTGCATAGGTCTTCCCTGTATAGGTAGATATGCTCTGGTTTTTTTCTGTTTTCTTTTTTTTTTTTTTTTCAGCAAAAGCACTTTATTTTGATTTACTATTCAGTTAGTTTATTGTGTTACCTCATTTACTTATTGAGGTTTGGAAATAAGGAATAGATTTTTTTCCCAGCATTCCCAAATAATTTCTCATTTCATCTCTACATGCTTTAGTTTGCATCCCTAAAATGTACCAAATTTTTCTTTTATCTCCATAATGTCATTATTTGACTGTCATGCAATATGTAGACCTTACTTACATTTCCACAGTTAATTCAAAATGTATTTTTCTGGTTGGTTTGCTTGAATCAGAATCCAGACAAAATTCACACTTTCTATTTAACTGTTCTCTTAAATGTCTTTTAAACTGTAACAGCCCCACTTCTTCACTACAGCCTTGTTTTTTTTCTTTTCTTGCCATTGGCTTACTGAGTGAGACCAACTGTCTCATACTCCGTCTATCTGTTTGTACCAAAAGTTTTACATAAATTTCTGATCATTAATCTTCTTTCATTTTTCACTTTCTAGAGTAGTAATTTTTCCAATACGAAAATAATGTAAGCCACGAAAGCAAGCTACCTATGTGATTTTAAATTTTTTAGTAGTCACATTAGACACATAAGAAACGGGTAAAATTAATTTTAACAATATATTTTATTCAATCCAGTATATCCAGAATATTACTTTAAAATTCATCAATATAAAAATTATTAAGGAGAAACTTTACATTCTCTTCTCCTACTAAGTCTTCAAAAGCTGGTGTGTACTGTGCTGGAAGACACCTCAGTTTGAACTAGCCACATTTCAAATGCTCAGTAGCCACATGTGACGAGTGGCTGCTGTATTAAGCAGGGAAGGTCTAGAGAATAAAGTCCTAACTCCTTAACCGGGCATTCAGGTTTCCTCTTCAATATGATCTTTGCTTTTCCAGCCTCACCTATTATCTCCATACATGAAACATTCAAACAATTGGATCTTTTAATGGTACTGAAACCAACCCAATAGTCCCATAAATAGGTTTTTTGTTTTGTTTTGAATAAACATAGAAATGGATATTTCCCATCTGAAAGCTTGAAACTTGCATTTGTTTTATCTTTTTATTTGTTTGTTTGTTTGAGACAGGGTCTTGCCCTGGTATCCAGTCTGGAGTGCAGTGGCACAGTCTCAGCTCATTGCAGCCTCTACCTCCCAGGCTCAAGCCATCTGCTAAGTCAGCTTCCCAAGTAGTTGGGACTACAGGTGTGTGCCACCATGCCTCGCTAATGTTTGTATTTTTTTTGGTAGAGATGGCGTTTCACCATGCTGGCCAGTCTGGTCTGGAACTCCTGAGCAGTAATCTGCCTGCCTCAGCCTCCCAAAGTGCTGAGATTACAGGCATGTGCCACTGCTCCCAGCCACATTTGGTTTATTTTTATCTGAGTTCTTTACTCAAGAAAGGATGCCCAGACCTCTCCAAAAGTATCAACGAACTGAAACCAGATTACTGCATCTAGACAATGAGATGCCAGACTCTTCATTCCTCATTATTGCTTCTTTACCCCTCCGTAGTTCATGTTTTCTCATACATAGTTAACATTTCTTTCTTGCTATATAAACCCCTAATTTTAATCAGTGAGGGAGATGAATTTGACACTGATGTCCCATTTCCTAGGCTGCAGTATCTGATTAAAGCCTTCTTTAGCAATAATCATTGTCTCAGTGATTGGCTTTCTGGGTGCCAAGCAGCAATACCTAGTTGGAATTGCTGGTGTTTTGGTAACAGTGTTTCATCAATCATTGTGTTCAAATGGTTCTTCTTACTTATAACACCCTAATTCTTTTCTTCTTCCTATCAGACTAATTCCTCCTTTAAGGCCTATCTCTTCCATCAAGCCTTTTATGATGGCCTGGTCCTTAGAAATTACTACCGCCTCTCAACTTTCATAGCAAGTCCTTTGTATATCACAGTATATTGTTTTCCTTAGACTGTATTCGGATTCCCCAGTTGGGTTGCAAACTTTCTGAGAGCAAGAACACCTCTCTTCAGAGACACTAAGAACCAACTATCTTGCCTCTTTCTCTGAAGTTCTAATGATACATAGCTTTAATAGGTTTGTTTCTCAGTATCTTACTTTCAGAAGGCAATTTATGCATTTTATGTAAAACTAATATAGCAGAAACATAAACTGTGTTAGTATCATGGTTAAGGGCATGAACTCTGGGGTCAGAATATATATGTTTAATAAAGGTTTTTCCTCTTACTGGCTATATGAATTTAATTCATCTTTGTGCTTTGGTTTCTTCCTCTAATATGGGAGTAAATAGTATTTCCCTTATATATTTGTTGTGCTAATTAAGTGAGATAGTTGTGCCTGAAGGTAGTAAGTACTCAGTAAAGGTTAGCTATTGTTGTTGTTATTAATTAATAATATTTGTTGATCAGTTTTGATATATTAGAATATTAGACATTTCATAGCAATATTTTAGGAATTTTCAGAGAGGAAATGAAAGCAAGACACAATTAAATTGGAAAAATAAAATCGAACTGAAGTATTTGTTGAAATATACATTTGGTTGGACTTCAGGATAAATTAAAAGTATACATAAAACTTTAATTTGTGTCATCAGCATCTGACGTAACCAAGGTAGGCATACATTAAATATTTGATTCCAAAATGATTGATCAAGTACTATAGATGTAGATAGATGTATCAGGAGTTTAAGATCCTTTGCCATGGTGATAGCAAAAAATGATATCTGTTATTAAATCTATCACTTTAGTACATGCCTGCCCATAAGTTAATGTCCATCAGACGTTTACAGATTTTTAATTTTATGTGTCATATTAGTCAATTGTGCTTCTCATTGCTGGATAACACTTGAAATATATATATATATATATATATATATATATATATATATATATATTAGTGTAATTCTGCTAATTATTTCCTATCCTAGGATTATATTTACTTTGCTCTTTTGGTAGTTCCATCACCAATTCTTTCATTTCCTTGATTTTTATTTCTGAATTTTAGGATTTTTTTTTTTTTTTTTTTTTTTTTTGGGACAGAGTTTCACTCTCCTTACCCAGGCTGGAGTGCAATGGCGCAATCTCGGCTCACCGCAACCTCCACCTCCTGGGTTCAGGCAATTCTCCTCTCTCAGCCTCCTGAGTAGCTGGGATTACAGGCACGCGCCACCATGCCCAGCTAATTTTTTCTATTTTTAGTAGAGACGGGGTTTCACCATGTTGACCACGTTGGTCTCAACCTCTTGACCTCGTGATCCACCCGCCTCGGCCTCCCAAAGTGCTGGGATTACAGGCTTGAGCCACCGCGCCCGGCGAATTTTAGGATTTTTATACCAGTGAACTAAGCTGTATTTAAGTACTACGGGACATTATGGTTATGTTCTGAAATTGAATGATTCTATCTAGAGCAACTTAGAATCTACTGGGAAATAGAAAAACCACCAAGAATTAGCTAGATGATATATATATAGCAGGCGTCCCCAAACTTTTTATACAGGGGGCC